CGTCGAACCACCACGCGGCGCCGTCGTCCGCGGCCGCTGGGGGCACCACGGACGCCGCGCTCTCTGCTTTCCTGCACCGCCTCCTCCTCTCGTCCCCGGCGCCGCAGCTACGGTCTCCACTCGCAGCTCGGTCGCAGGCGTCGCCCTCGCCTCCGCCTCTGGTCTCGCTCGAGTCCCCCGATCAGCGCGCGCTCCGCGACGCCGCGGACGTGGGCTACTTCCACCTCGCCGGCCACGGCCTTCCTTCCGAGCTACCGTCCTCCGCGCTCGCCGAGCTGTCTCAACTCGACGCGTCCACGCGCCTGGAGTCGAATCTCCGCACGCTCGGCTTCTCCGAGGAGGAGGGGGGAGAGCAGGATGTAGACGGCGGCGGCGCCGACAATCCCGCCGTGGTGTTCGACGCCTGCGAGGGGGACATGGACGCGCTCCCGGCTGCGGCGGAGTACGCGCGTCGGATGAGGGACGTGGGCATGCGGGTCGTGGCGCTTCTCTCTGGGTGCCCCGACACGGGCTTCCGGGAGGAGCCCTTCGCGGAGGGGAGGAGGAAGCCGCGGTGCCTGCTGTGGGCCTCCCGGGTCTCCACCGCTGATACGGCGCTTCCGGCCCTCGGGAAGGCGAAGGCGTACCCGTACGTCGTGGCGCTTCACTGCCAGTGGGAAGCGTCCGGGCAGGAAGAGGCACCGCCGAGCTGGGTCATGAACGACGGCGGCGAGTGGACGGCAGTGGGCGCACGCGACGGCGTGATCCTTGTCACCATCGGCGACATTGCCCAGGTAATTAATTATAAGTGCAAATCTATCAGATATTTCATGAACATTAGTAACTGAAATTTGCAATGGCATCTTCCATAAAGAAAGCAGAGATTACATAAGCACCGTAATTATTCTTATATCGCCTTTATCTGGGCCTTGTTTAGATTGCCTCAAAGTTCCAAGTTTTTTCATTCTTTTTCCATCACATCAATTTTTGGACGTATACATGAAGCATTAAATGTAGGTAAAAAAAGTAACTAACTGTACAGTTTGGTTGTAAATCACGAGACGAATCTTTTGAGCCTAGTTAGTCCATGATCGGATAAAGTTTGTCAAATACAAACAAAACATGCTACAGTGTCCAGATTGCAAAAATTTGCAATCTAAACAAAGCCCTGGTCAAAATTTAGAGGCCATTTATTTAGTGCTCTAGTACACGCTAGAGGTGGTAGTGCCACTGGAACAGAACGTACAGGAACCAGCGGCAGAGATTGTCAGCATCCGTTTTGTTTATGCAGCGGCCAGCGGCATCAAATTCTAAAGTAGGTTGTGCATCAGCAATTCAGCATCACCACTCAGTTTTTATTTTTGACCCAGGCCTTGTTTAGTTTACATCAAAATTCCAAGTTTTTTCACTCTCTCTCCATCACATCAATTTTTAGCCGCTTGCATGGAGCATTAAATGTAGGTAAAAAAAATAACTAATTGCACAGTTTAGTTGGAAATCACGAGATGAATCTTTTGAGCTTAGTTGGTCCACAATTGGACAATATTTACCAAATAAGACGAAAACGCTACTATTCATCAGGTTGCAATTTTTTGCAATCTAAACATGGCCCCAGTTAGGCAATCGGGTCCCATGTCAGCATCAGCTGGTGTGGTTCACTCACTGATCATCGCCCAGTTTGGAACACGTCAAGACACACACAAAAAAAAAAAAAAACAGAGTCAAACATCTCTGCTTTTCAAACACATACAAAAAAACAACACCATTGTGTCATATGAGCTGTTCTTCACTCTTCAGACAGGGCGGCAGCACTCATCTTTTGTTGCCATGATTCCTTTTGGCTCGCGTGCTAGGTGTGGAGCAATGGCAAGTTGAAGAAAGTGAGAGGGATGGCTCGCCCCACATCCGCCGCACCCATGGAGACGCAGCATGGCGAGACTGACCGTCTGTCGCTGACGGTCCTTATCACTCTGTCTTTGGACAACATCATCTCGCCCTTGGTCCCGCTCTCCAATGCCGCCGGAGAAGGCCGCGAAGACGAGGCAAATGGTGCCGGAGCGGACGACGAGGATGGATGGAGGTTTCACTCTTTCCTACTGGAGGACTATGCGTGGAGGGTGTATAACCAGCGGCTTCAGTTCAAGGATCCATTGGTCCGGTATCGGATATGATATTTGCCACGATGATCTATAGCTCTCCATTTTTTGTTGGTGTGCCAATATGCAACTCATGTGTGACTTCGTGTTGTGATCTACTATTTGGTTTCCGAGTGGTTTGAGAACAACTGCTCGCTTTGGGTTTCAATGTGTGTCGCTGACGTTCTGACCCTTTGCTCAAATACCTGAGCGATTTGGACAAACAATAGGATTCTGCACAGACTTTCCAAAATTCCTAGTGGCACCATTTGAATGTGAGAATTTAAAGCTTGACGAGGTGCTCAAGGACATACCAGCAACAAGCTCATGTTTCCCTCTCAAATAGTATCTCGGACTCTTGCTATATGTGGCCATGTGGGAAGGCCGGTTATAACCATGTTCTGACAAAATCATATCACAGGGCGTCTGCAACGATGGCGAGGGAAACAACTCGGCCCAGCGAGGCAGGCAACGTTAGTCAAATCAGTTTTGGCACCGCAATCCATATATCTCTTCACAGCTTCCAAGGTTAACAAGGGTTAGAAGAGCTTGACAAACCGCGCAAGCGTTTCTCATGGGTTGGAAACAGAAATCTCATGAGGAAAAATGCATGATCGATTGGACAAGGATGTGCTTATACTGTAACGATAAGAGAACTGGGAGGAAATCTAGAGGGTGAAAGGAAAATCAATTGGAGGATTTCGGGGTAGGAACACAGGAATGTGGTTCGAGTTGAGGTTTAGGACCTGTCTTCTGTCTACTGTAGCTTGAGTAGTGACATCACCCTCTCCGGAAGAAATGGCACATCAGCCAATTTCACCAATACTCAAACGAGAGCCTTTTCGCCTTTGCGAACGAGATCAGATTTACAAGTGAAGACAACAACACGCAATGTAATTAATCATATACAAAAGATGTTACAGAGCACGACCTCATCTGAATCTGATGTTGTAGTTATTTTTTTGCGGTGTGTTTGCAGTCACATACTTATACTTGATTTGCTACCTCAATCTATACAACCCATGGTGATTGTCAATCAATAGATCTACAATTCAACCGTAGAGAGAGCTGCAATTCTGAACTAGCTGCAACCGAAGTGACAACTGCGAGTAATCAGAACCGATGTAATTGATGTATCATATACTTTAATAGCTGCAACCAAAGCGATAGACTGCTGGCAGCTGAAAATGCGCACCTCGTCAAATAGCATATGTAGAACTAGTGAAACAGAGTCCGGCTGGGGTGCGATGAGGCATATATGGAACGAACATATGATCACACGCTACAAACCAGACCCAATTGCTTTTTTGCCCTCTCGCCCATGACCAGTTCAAAACTACTGCCTAGTGAAACGGATCATAGAGAAAATAGAACAGAGAAGTAGAAACCATACTTCTCAAATCAAGAACGTGGGGCGACGCAAATCAAGAAACCTAGACATAAGCATCCCTAGTACACGAGAGCAGAGGGGAAGGAAGAGGAGGGAAGCACGATCACAGGCGAGAAGGCGGTTGCAGGGGATGGGCGCCGAAGGGGATGGTCCTCTGTGGGCCGGTATTCTTCTCAGGGCGATGTGATCCATGGGGTTTCGTGCCGTAATTCCTGTCATTCCTGGCTCAACCGAAAGATGCCATTCTCGGTAATCTGAATCCACTGACCTAGCGCTTGCGCACCTTGGGCTTCGTCCTAGAGAGACAGGGCTGCAGGTGCAGCTGCGCTGCCTCCTCCTCCCGTACTCTCATCGTGTCGACCTATCCATTAGAAATCGGCGCTCTGGCCATTAGCCACCTCCGATTCGAGGCAACCTCAAGGAGAAGCTCATCAATCTCATCGCTGGCCCTCCTCACCTCTGCTACTTGTGTTCACGAGCTCCAGTAGTCCAGTGAGCCGAGCTAGGGAGCGGGCCCAATGAGTAGTCCAGGAGACCAGGACTACCCTAAAATCTGGCCCAAAGCTTTTTACTACTCTATATTTTGGTACTTTAAGCCCACAAGAAATAAGAGCCTAACAAACAATAGGCCCTTAGGCAGCCAACCCATCTCCTCCCGAGCAGCCCACGACTCCGGACTCCCGAGCGCGACTTTTGCGACTGGCGAGCGAACCGCCGCTCGCCCACCCGGCGGCCGAGCTCCCGAGCTGTAGTGCGGCACCCCCGTCGACCGCCGCCCCGCGTGGCCGCCGAGCGACACCCCCGCCTGGTCGCCTACTCCCGTGGCCACGCGCGCGGCGCGCCACCGCCCGCCGGCGCCGTGCGCGCCAACCAGCTAGCCGCCCTCCCAGTCCGCTATCCCCGAACTCAACTCCCGATTCGCCAAGCCAGCCGCCCGACCAAGCAGCCGAGTTCGCTGTGCGCTGTCCGCCGTGCGCCGCCCTGGTGAGTGTGCTCCTGAGCCTTCTGCCAAATCCCATTCTCTTAAACCTCGAGGTAATAGGGTTTGTACATTGGACTGTAAATTTGGGCTTAGGGATTGTGTATACGTGAAATTGATGTGTGCTTCAATATTATTGGTTAGGGATTTGTTCGTGTTAATGAAATCAGAGCCTAGAATTGAATGAAATATGTTATCATATTTTCCAGAAAGTTTGAAGTTTGAGGCATGAAGAAATCAAATATTGCATTTCTTTTTACAGAAGCATATAGTTGTGTATACCAAACCATATAAATATATTATCGCACGTTGGTTAATTTATTTTTGTGTATATCAGACCATATAAAATATTTATACCTGTGTTATTGATTTTGTATTGGATTTTACCATATTGAATATGAAAATTTTGACTAGGACAACCCTACTTTCAAATCCTGGGTCCGCTGCTCTTGTCCAAGCTTCAGCCAAGTCAAGCTCGGGTCTGTCTAGCCAAGCAACGGCACAGCGGTGCTGATCGATGCTTCCTCTGAGGAACCGGTGCCAGCGGACGCTTCCTCTGGGGAACGGTCTCGAGTTTGGTTGGGAGATGGGTGGCAGGAGTTGCTGCGTCTGCAACGAGGCGCCGTTCAAGTACAAGTGCCCCTCCTGCCGCACGCCCTAGTAAGTCCAGACACAAGCCTTATCTGCCGTTGTGCGTGGTTACATGTGCTCTCGCCAAGCGTAACATTGAGGCGTGGCGTGCTTGTCAGTAGAGTAGCGGGGCTATCTCTGTTGAATTAACTAGTGTGAATTCATGCCCAGGTAACTGTATTTGGGCAATTTCTTCTTCGAGGATAGGATGGGTTGACTAGGGTTCATGGAACAAAGTGATTGATTGTGCATATCTGGATTATGGGCACCTGGAATTTGCTTCTAGCCTCTGACTTCAGATTCTAGCTTACTGTGCATACAATCAATTAAGAAAGTAATATCGCTACAATTCTAGCATTAAACATAGTGCTGTGTTTGATGTTTATCTTTGGTGGAAATTTAAAGTAGATCAGTCGGTGAGTGGGACATACAATTGAGAAATGCTGCATTAATCCAAAAACTAAATGTCAGCAACTTTTCCTAAATGAATGTAGCGTGCACATAAGGACTAAGGTTGCTATTACCTTAAGGAGATATAAAGTTGAGCCACCAAGTCTTTTTTTTTTTTAAAATGTGGCTTCAGCTGGTGTTTGTACCATAGTATCATTATTTTGTAACGACGGCTAGCATTTATTTAGAATTGCAACACAAGGATGTCACTAAACATTTCAGCCTTCAATGCAATTAGGCTTTCTTAACCTGCTCTACTTTATCATGTTTTCTAAGTTTATCGTCTGTTAATTAAATCAAGTCACACAATCCTTGCAATCACTTTGGAATCATTCAAGATTATGCACGGAAAATCTAAATTAGTGTTCATACTAAATATTTTGGTACTGGATATATCATATATGCTACAGATTATCTAAAAGCATTAGCTCTGGATATATCATATATGCTACAGATTATCTAAAAGCATTAGCTCTCATTTTTTTTATTAGTTGAACCTAATTTACTGTCTCATTGTTCCTTGCAGTTGCTCTGTCACATGCTTTAAAAAGCACAAAGGTACTTCTATCCTAACCTTGCAGTTTGTCAACCTTAAATTTCTTCAATGATTTAATATATTCTTACAGGACTAAAGAGTAGATTGGAATGCTTTTATACTGTGATCTCCAACTTAGATTGTTTCCCTTGTCCTGGGAGCAGTAGACACATGCTTACTAGCTGTAACAATCAAGTATATGAGATCCAGCTCCTTTATATGACTTGGTTGTTATCTGATGCTAAATGTTGCTTTTCTTTGCAGAGGAATCTTGCCAAAAAACGTTGCCTCAGGAAGAAATTAGCAAGTCACCACTGCAGCTGCAGGAGGAAGTTAGTGAGTCCTCTAGCTTTTGGTGATAAATTTATTAAAATGTAACTGCTTTCTTAACATACTGGGGCACTGGGCAGTGGGGACTTGTTCCAGTTACAACAGGGTATGAGGTGTAAATCTAGACTTGTTCCAGATACCCTAATTGTTACTCCCTCCATTCCAAATTATAAGACATTTTGGCTTTTTTAGTTACATTACTTTTGCTATGTACCTAGATATAGTGTATATCTAATTGCATAGCAAAAGTAATGTATCTAGAAAAGCCAAAATATCTTATAATTGGAATCGAGGGAATACATACTTTGGTAATTGTCCTTAGTGAAGATGTCAACTTTGTTAGTTCCTAAAACAACAAGGTACAGATGTTCTTATCAGGGACTTAATTTTATTCTTGCTAACCATAGTGTTAATACCTTGCTTCAAAGGTAATTTATTTTGTTATAGGAAGAAAACTTTCTTACTATTGGTGTCCGTCTGTCCGAAATGTCTGCCGCATTTGTTTACCAAAATAAAAGTGGTTGAACCAATTGTGTTCTGTATATCAGTTCATGCAGTACTACTCGAAGGTGTTTTGTATTAGTTGGAATGATTTGTTAGCAAACTATAGGAATCTATGGGGATTTTTATTGTTTGCACTTTGCAGCACGGGGCTCTGGGTTGGTGGAAGACGGGACAAAGTACCCTAATGACAAGGATCAACATCCCTCTTTATGTAATAAATACTTATGCATTCCATAATTACATTTGGTATTTATCACTTAAAGTTGATTAAGACCATACTTAGGGCTCTTTTGGAAGCAAGGGGGAGCAAAACCCAGGGATGGAAACCCCCCACTAAGAACTAGAATGATAATTAGAATGATATCCCCATGGATTACCCACCTAGGGAAAAGCCCGGGATCTCGGAGGGATTGGAGTTTCCAAATTAGGCCTTAATGTATTATAACCGTATACTGATATTCCTACTATGAACATTTTGTTTGAAGTAACCACCAACATGGCCACAACTACCTCTAACTGTATACAGTGGAGCTATATTCTTTCTTAAATCAAATTTATGTAAAATGGTTACCTAAAGTGTCATACAGAATGCTCTTGTTGCTTCATTATGTGTTTATGAATGCCTATAAATTGTTTAACTGTAATCTCCCTGTTTTTCGGCAGCACTGAACACCACATGCACTGCAAAGTCTCTAAATACAGCGTGCCCTACAAAAGTTCTTGAAGCTGAGGACCCAAGCTGGCTTGTTGACAACAATAGACTAAGGTCTTTAGGTACGGGCGTATGGCCTAACTTACCACCAAGGCACCAAGCTTGACTACATTTCTAGGCACTTCATATTGTGTTAACAGTGTTGTCATGTAGGTTAGTTACATAAAAAAAGGGATATTAGCATCATATTAGAATGCCCCTGCATCATTTCTTATGCTTACAGTTTACTCCAACTTCCATCATAAACATCCATTTTATAACCAAACATGCAACTGTCATGTACGGGCGCACCTATAGGCGCCGTCGTGACGCTAGGAGGGCTGCGGAGCGCGCGGCCAAGGCAGGTGCCACCGTCAGTGGCTAAGTTTAGAAAGATAGGATTTAGTTTCCTTTTGCATGCCTTAATTATAGGAGAGTTTGGTTGGGCCATTGGCCATATATGCCGTGTAACAGACTTGGAGAGAATTAAGCAAGATCAATTACCCTAACGTTGCTCCTCTCTCCCAAACTCTCTCAAGCCACCGGTGAGATCTTCTCACGGTGAAGGCCTGGAGCGCGACTACGAGTTGCGTAGCCGCGGTCCGGCGACGTTGAGCGTTGAGGCGCTTGACAACCTGGTATCGGCGTCGCGTAGATCCTCTCCCACCCGCTCCAGCCCTCCACCATCCCCTTCCACCGACCACTCCACCACCATGGCTGCACCCACCATCAAGGACCTCATGGAGATGATGCAGTCGTTCCAGACTGAGTTGTCTTCCGTGAAGGCTGACATGGCCACCATGAAGGACAAGTCATCATCGTCGTCGGACAACGGCGGCGGCAGGCGCGAGGAGCCTCCTCGTGATCTGGATCGGCCCCCACGATTCCAGAAGCTCGACTTCCCCCGCTTCGATGGCAAGACCGATCCGATGCTCTTCATCAACAAATGCGAATCCTATTTTCGCCAACAGCGCACCATGCCGGAGGAGCGCGTGTGGATGGCCTCCTACAATCTGGAGGACGTCGCGCAGCTGTGGTACATCCAGTTGCAGGAAGACGAGGGTACGCCGCCATGGGGACGATTCAAGGACCTCCTCAACCTTCGTTTCGGTCCACCTCTCCGCTCGGCGCCCCTGTTCGAGTTGGCGGAGTGTCGCCGCACCGGGACCGTGGAGGAATACTCCAACCGGTTCCAGGCTCTGCTGCCGCGCGCGGGTCGGCTCGAGGAGGGCCAGCGCGTCCAACTATACACCGGCGGCCTTCTTCCTCCGTTGAGCCATGCCGTCCGCATCCACAATCCGGAGACGCTCGCCGGGGCCATGAGTCTCGCCCGCCAGGTCGAGCAGATGGAGTTAGCGCGGCTACCCCCACCGGCCACCCGGGAGCCGCCGTGCCTTCGCCGCCAGCCGGCGGCGCGCTTACACGCCCGGGCCGCCGCTTCTTCGCGCACCACCATGGCATGGCGCGGTCCGCCCATGACGGATGGGCCGCCTTTGAAGCGGCCGTCCCCGAGGAACAAAGTGAACGGGCGCCGTCTCGGCCTCTGTTTCAATCGTAATGAGCCGTACTTCGCGGCCACAATCGTGTCGCCGCCAGATCTTCTACCTCAACGGCGTCGAGCTCACGATCGTCGACGAGGAACCGATGGGGGACGATCGGCAGGACGGCGCCCTGTTTTCTCCTCGAGGCGAAGGGGCGGTATGCCCATCTGTGATTCCATGCAGCGCGGGTTTCTGGCGCCACCACCTCGTCGCGCTCCCCGACACCGGCTCCACACATAATTTCATCGCCGAGGACGCCGCGCCGCCAGACCGGCATGCCGATCCGGCCAGCGCCGCGCCTCACGGCCACTGCGGGCTAACGGCGAAGCGCACACCGCCTGCCGGCGTCATCCGCCGCAAGACCGGTCATCATCGAGGGCGAGACGTTCTTCATCGACCTTTTTTCGCCATGCCGCGCGCGGTATGACCTCATCTTGGGGACTCAATGGATGGTCACCCTTGGCGGGTGGTGTGGGACTTCGTCGACCGCACCGTCTCCTTCTCGCACTAAGGCCGACAGGTCTCTGGTCGGACGTCGCCGACCGTCGGCCACCCCTTTACCGCCGCCACCACGACACCGCGACGCCTCCTTGAGGAGTCGCCGCACTCCTTCGAGGGGGTGTTTGCCGAGCCGGCTGGTTTCGCCACCGCAGCCGAGAGCGGGATCACGCCATCGTCCTCAAGCCCGGCTCTACACTGTGGCGGTTTGGCCCTACCGCTACCCGGCGGCGCACACAAGGACGAGCTGAACGGCAATGCGCCGCCATCTTTGGACCAAGGCATCAGACGCCGCAGCGATTCGGCGTTCTCATCGCCGCGGTATCTTTGGTCAAGAAGGGGACGGGCTTGGCGATTTTTGCGTGGACTATCGCGCTCTTAATGCCCTCACCGTCAAGGATGCTTTCCCATCCCGATCGTTGCGAACTCCTTGATGAGCCGCATGGTGCGCAGTTCTTCACCAAGCCGGACCTCCGCCCGGCTATCACCAAGTCCGGATGCGCGGCCGGTGATGTGCATAAGACGGCGTTCAACCCACGACGGCTTCTATGAGTTCTCGGTGATGCTGCGTTCGGTTTATGCAACGCCCTCGGCAACATTCCAGCGCTCATGAACGACGCGTGCTCGTCCATTCCTTCGCCGGTTCGTCCTTGTCTTTTTGATGATATATTGATTTACAACAAGACTTGGGCTGATCACTTGAGGCACATCCGCGCCGTCCTCGCCGAACTTCACCGCCATGTCCTCTTCGTCAAGCGATCCAAGTGCATCTTTGGGTCACCTTCCGTGACATACCTGGGGCACATCATCTCCGCCCAAGGTGTGGCCATGGACCCGGCCAAGGTGCAGGCCATTCACGATTGGCCGGCACTCGCTCTGCTGCAAGCGGCGTGCGTGGCTTCTTGGCCTCGCCGGATACTACCGCAAGTTCGTCCACGACCACGGCAAGATGCGGCGCGCCTCACTTCGTTGTCAAGAAGGAGGGCTTTTCTTGGAACGACGCGCCCAGCGACCCTCCAGCACTCAAGGCGCCCGTGATGTCGGCCCGGTGTTGTTGCGGCCTGCCGACTTCACCAAGGGCTTCATCGTCGAGTGTGACGCGCCCACGCATGGCTTCGGGGTGGTCTTGCTGCAGGAGCACCATCCGATCGCTTATTTCAAAGAGCGGGCCGCTTCGCCACCGCTGGCTCTGGCGGCAGATGAGCGGGAGCTCATTACCGGTGCACGCCAGGCGCCATCGGAGGTCAGACTGTGGAAGCGCGTTCTCGTCCGCACCGACCACTCTGACCTCAAATTCCTCCTCGACCGGCGCCTCGACGATCCCGGCAAAGACCATTGGGTGGGCAAGCTCCTCGGCCGACTTCTCGGTGGAATACAAGCCGGGTGCCACGAACACCGTCGCCGACGCCGTCCTTATCCCGCCGCGACACCGGCGAGGAGGGTTTCGGTCGCCGTTCGGCGCCTCGCCGATTTCGTCGACCGTCTTTCGTCATGCTCAACGACAGAACCAGCCCGGTCGCCCTCGGGGATGAACTAGCAATGCAAGCACTAGGGGCGCGCCTGTGGTCATTATTTGGGACGGCATGGTGGCGTATGTCGACAGGCTCTACATTCCGCCGGACTCCCCCTTCGCCGCTTTCGAAGTGGTGGTCGCTACGCACGCACGACGAGCGGGCATGAAGGGGTGCGGCGGACTCTACATCGCCTCCGCGGGACTTCTACTTTCGCCATGCGCGCCGCGTGGTACAGACTTCGTCCGTCGCGCCGCATAACGTGCGCCGCAACAAGTTCGAACACCGCACCGACGGGAATATTGCTACCCCCGCCCGTTCCCCAGGCCGTGTGGTCCGACGTCGGCTTGGACTTCATCGAGGCGCCGCCGCCTCGCGGGGCAAACAAATCGGTGATCCTCACGGTGGTCGACCGGTTTAGCAAACATCGTCATTTTATCCCATCGGCTCACCCCTACAAAGGCCGAGTCCGCGGGCCCGAGACGTTCTTCGGCCGAGATCATTCGCCTCCACGGATCCTCGGTCCATGGTGTCGGACCGGGACTCCGTGTTCACCTCGACGATTCGGCGGAGCCGGCGCGACTCACCGGGCCCCAAAGCCGCACATGACGCGTCCGCCTTCCACCCGCAAATCCGATGGCCAAACAGAGGCGGCCAACAAAGTCATTGTCATGTACCTCCGGTGTTTCATCGGGATCGGCCTGGCAAATGGGCTGCGATGGCTGCCATGGGCGGAGTACGTCTACAACACGGCGTATCAATCGCCGCTCAAGGACACTCCATTCAAGGTGGTCTCTGGTAGAGGGACCCCCCCTCCATCCGCTCTTATGAGTCCGGAGACCGGGTGGCGCGGTGGCCAAGACAATGGCGGCACGCGAGGAGCTCCTAGCGGATGTCCGCTATCGCCTGGAACAAGCCCAGGCTGTCCAGAAGTTCTACGACCGCCTGCACCGACCGGTCTCCTATGCCGTGGGTGACTGGGTGCTGCTGCGCCTTCGCCAACGGGCAGCTTCCTCTCTTCCCCAGGCGCCCAAGGGCAAGCTGAAGCCACGCTTCGTCGGGCCTTACCAAGTCACCGAGTGCATCAACCAGGTGGCTGTTCGTCTAGCGCTGCCCCCGCGCGCCAAGCTGCACGATGTCTTCCACGCCGGCCTTCTCAAGAAGTTCGTTTCACAAGACCACCGGCCACGCCACCTCCCTCCCACCCATTCATCATGGGCGGTGACTCCGGAACCGGAGCAGCTGTTCGGCACCGGTGGCAAAGGGTGTTCGGCAGTGCTCATCCGCTGGAAAGGGCAGTCCATTGCTGGTGCTACTTGGGAGGATGTTGCAGACTTCGCGACAAATTTCCCGGCCAGCTCGAGGACGAGCTGACCGTCGAGGGGAGAGATGTCATGTCTGGCGCAGCACCTATAGGCGCCCGTCGTGACGCTTAGGGAGGGCTGATGAGCTGGCGGCCAAAGGCAGGTGCCACCGTCGGTGGCTAAGTTTAGAAAGATAGGATTTAGTTTCCTTTTGCATGCCTTAATTATAGGAGAGTTTGGTTGGGCCATTGGCCATATATGCCGTGTAACAGACTTGGAGAGAATTAAGCAAGATCAATTACCCTAACGTTGCTCCTCTCTCCCAAACTCTCTCAAGCCACCGGTGAGATCTTCTCACAGTGAAGGCCTGGAGCGCGACTACGAGTTGCGTAGCCGCGGTCCGGCGACGTTGAGCGTTGAGGCGCTTGACAGCAACATCTTCACTTGTGGTTTATAACATGTAGGGAAATCGTCAATGAATATGACTTAAGTGCAGCTAATATACGGAAACCTATATTGATATAGATATACCTTAATGCAATGATATGCAGCTCTCCTGCGTGTTCTACAAAATATATATATATATATATATATATATATATATATATATATACCTTAGACTTTCCATGTTTAAATAAGTTCTGATCCTCCATGCATCATGTGTGAAGTTGTTTATTTGTTTTGTCTTCCAAAAAGTCACTTTATTCACCCTTTAAGATGTCGAGGTAATTACTGTTGTCACTTGGACTGATAGAAGTATTCTAGTTCTGAATTCATGAATGCCAAGCTGTCTGCCAAAGTAGCATGAGTGCAGCTTTCTTTCTGAGTGTTTTTACCTGAACTTTGTATCTTGCACAGCGGAACTGAAAGGGATCCAAGATGCTCTCAGGGATCCTGAACTGCAGAAAATGATACTTAAAATTGATGGGTCTTCAGAACCAGAAAAAGTAAGTCTTCTTTCACTTGCAACAATTGCTAAGTTTGGCATGTGTTTAAATTTATACTTTTGCCTGCTGGCCAAATAGCACTTGACATACCTATCATAACTGCATTTGATTCAAAACAAACACTCAAGATGAATACAGGTGCATTTTTTTTCCCACGGGAATAGTGTACATCACCTCAATTTCTTATCCTTGTCATGACTTGGGTATCTTTTTGAGTGTTTGTAAGCTCCAAAAAGGCCTATGCCAAGCCGCAGATATGGGTCTAAGATCCTAGCTTATATTTCTTGAATTTTACCCAGTTTTCTTTCTTTCATTATGTGTATTTGTCTGTAGGAATTGGAGAGAGTGATGGAAGGTCAAGCTTTTCGCGAGTTCACTAATAAGGTCTTCATGCATCTCATTTTGCCTCAGCCTTTGATCTTATCTACACATCATATATCTATCTTTAACCATTTAACTCCTGTATTGCAGATTCTTGACATTGTCAGCCCACAAGAATAATCACCTGCCCTGTTTGGTGGATTCTGATGCTGGAGTAAATAGAAGCATCCAGGCAAACAAGCGAAAGTGGACGAGCTGATCTCTGTTTTCCTTTTTCCAGGATGGGGTAGACTTTGAAACAAATCTTGAGTCGCCTGTTTTTCCATGATGGGGGTAGACTTTAGAACACATATTGTGGAAATTAAATTGTATGGACCCTGGGTCCATTCACTCTCCAATGCAACACCTCACGGATGGATGACAAGTGTAGCCTGGTGAAAGGAAATTGCTGTTGCTGAAAAATCTCTCTTGCCAAAGATTGATATTTCTTCGGTGGTTGCATTATGCGTTTCATTTCAGAATGTCGATTATCGTAGCTGTATTTTAGTGTGGTAGACAGCGACTCTACACTGACTACTGAATCTTCATGAGAAGATGATGCTTCCATTGACCAGTATAGCGGCCATATTTCCGCAACATGCTTTTGACACATGAACTAAGTGGAACGATCATTGCGTGTCTCGTGGCACTTGTTTTTAACATTTCCTTTTGAATTATCTTGTTTCTGAAAATTGAAAAACATGCCGTTAGAGTCCAAAATTGCAAAGTGGACGGGCTGATGGGGTTCGAAGCCCGGTCTCTGCTTTCCAGTTGAACCGCTTCTGTCCCCTGGCCATCAGATTTAGGCCTCGTTCGGTTACGGGGAGATTCATTCCCAGCCGAGCGTCATCTCTTCGTAAATTTGTATAGCACCGGATCCGTTCCAGGCGCGGAACGTCCGGTTCGGTAACAACCGAACGGCGCCTTAAGGATAAACCGTCGTGGCACCGTGTCCCTCTTTAGAAAGCGGGCCAAGAGCTAACTGTTTTTTCTAATACTACAGCTAACTGCATTTTATAAGTACTACTACCTTCCTATTGAAACATAAGGAATCAAAATTTATCCTAAAACAAGCCATCATAAATTTAACCAGAAAAGTATACAAAATAATATTAAAATTTATCGCATCAATCAAAGAGGTAAATTAGCAAACTTGATTTCATAATGATGCTAATTTGATATCATATTGTTTTTTTTATATATAAACTTGATGAAATTTTAATGGTCTAACTTAGGATAAACTGTGTAGCATACACTGCGCAGCTTCTAGGGTCACGATTTCCGTTGGGCCGTTCGGGCATCCATGGAGACGGCGAAGTTAAAAACGGGTGAAACAGGCAAACAGCAGGTGAAATTTGAAAAAGGCTAGCGGTCAATCGGTTCCGTTTCTGGCCTGCATCACGGTCACGATTTCCTCAGCGACAGCACAGAGCACAGAGCAGAATATAGCCGATATAAACACGAGATCTCTATAAACACACCCTCCCCGTTCCGACCGCTTGCCGCACGGACCACCTCCTGGCCGTGCGTCCGCTACCCAAATTCGCCGCCACCGCTCCCCTCGTCGGCGGCGCCGCACCCTGCCGCTTGGTAATCTCTCGCGACAGCGCAGCTAGGGCGTCCCAGATCCTCCGCCCATGACCCAGACCCTGGCGCCGCGTCCGCGCGCCGAGATAGGGTTTGCTTCTTGCGGCCCCCGGCCTCGGTGAGGTGGGACGGCAAGGCGGCGGGGCGGGGGTGGGGCTGTGGGGCGCGGCTCGCCGTCGGATGGACGCCGATGAGGCCGCGGGGAGCAGTAGGAGGATGGATCTGAACCTTTACCTCGGTCTTTTCAGCGGCCCGCGCCCGCGCCGCTCTGACCTCGGCTCCGACCTCGCCCTCAGCACCCCGATGCCCTCCTCTCCTTCGTCCTCCGCCGCGTCCGTCGACGCGCCGCCGCCGCCGCCGCCGCCGCCGCCGGAGCCCCTGCACCCGCCGTACTCCCCCTCCCGCGCCGACCTCTCCCCTCCGCCGCCGGAGGTGTACTCCCCCTACAACCCCGAAGACTCGCCTGATCCGGATGCGCATCTGTCGTGCATGCAGCCTCCGGAACCGCTCACCCCCGGGCCGCGGAACATGCCGCCTCCGGAATCGCTTACTATCTCGAGGATCCGAGAGGGACTTCGGGAACTTCGGGATGCCCTCCATCCGCCGTCCCCGCCCCCGCCCCCGCTGGTGCGGGCCAGCGAACTGCTGGGGTGGGAGGACCGGCCTTCCTCGTCGACGGCCTCTTCAACTTTCTTCCCAGACGCTGCCGACCGATACAGGCGGCTGCTCGAGCAGACTTCCAGCCGGTGGCTTCGCCCGAGGCGGTTCAGGTCTGACCTTCCACCCCTCAGCTCCGAGGCTCGCCCCTCTGGGCAGGACGCCGCCGAGCCGGTGCCCCAGCATGAGCCTGCAGCTGATGATACTAATGAATTAAACAAGGTGGCTGTCAATGGCTCAGAATTAGGTGCCTCGCAGGATTGCTCTGAGGAACGTGGCAAGACTGCTGCTGCATTCGAGTGTAACATATGCTTTGAGATGGCTAGTGAGCCGGTTGTCACTTCTTGTGGCCATCTCTTCTGTTGGCCGTGCTTGTACCAGTGGCTGAATGTTTACTCCAACCACAAGGAATGCCCAGTCTGCAAAGGCGAGGTGACTGAGGCAAATATTACTCCTATATATGGTAGAGGGAATTCGGCTGCAGAGAAAACTGTGGAGGATGGGAAGCCACCAGGTCCTACAATCCCGCCGAGGCCACATGGAAATCGCCTTGAAAGCTTCAGGCAGCAATTCCATAATATGCGACCTATCTCGACAGGGCTTGGTGAGGCGCATGGGATACTGTCATCATGGAGGCGTCTTCTGGATCAGCAGATTATGAGCAGCGTGAGTAGGTTTGAAGGGCCGTCTGAATCAGCCGTGCAAGAAGTAAATGAAATTCGTCAACGTGCTCGCCTAAGAGGATTAGCATTGACCACAAGGATGAGAGCAAGGCGGTTGCAAATAGAAGCCCAGATGCGTCCTGATGGTTCTTCCACTAACCCTGATAATGGTCTGACAGGAAACAATGCATCAGAATCTCTGACAGGAAACAATGCATCAGAATCAACAAGACGTTCAACAACACGCGTACCAGATGGACTTGAATTGTTGCAACGCCTTGCTTTTGGCACAGAAAGACTAGCTAGTGCCATGAGTGACCTTACACGAATTGCTTCACCAAGCCAATATGGAGGATCTGCTTCATCATCGAATCCTCAAAATAATGAGCCAGCAGTCGATGGAGCTCGCATGGCTGGAGCACCTTCTGCAGATCAAGCATCTAATTCGAGCACTGTTGCTGTGATAGAAGGGGATGCTGGCATCTCTGAGAGTGCAGGAGAGCCTAGCAATGCAGGCTCTTCGAGATCCTTGAGGAGGAGAGGGAGGAGCAATGCCTTAGGTTCATTGGATGTGGATGGTGGAGGCCTCCAACGGAACAAGAGACGCAGAATGAACTGAACCCTCTTGATATCTGTGTTTGTCCCAAACCACACTTGGCCTCCTTTGCTGATTTCAATTGTTGTATTTCATGACTTCAGGTGATATCAGCTGCATTGTAGCATGTTGTAGTTTCGTCTTTTTTCTGTTCACTAGGTTTCACTGAAACAGTTCCTTGTTCAGTTTGCTCTGTAGCCTGTCACCAGTTTCAGAATCGAGTTGTTCTTGTATCCATACAGAGGAAGTTTAACTCTGTTGTTGGAAAGATTTTTCGTGTTCATAAATTGAATGCTCGATTGTGCATTTTTTGCAATACCATTTTGCCAACTGAGGCATTCAACTGGAGGTGTTATTTGTCAACTGATTCTAAGCCACAAAGGAGATCTTTAAACATATTGTATATAGTGAAATACGAGTATATGGAATCTAGAAAATGGACTGCATTTGTCGTTTGCCAGATACAGGGTAACAGGGATTTCTTTTTTTTGAGTCCGTTTATTAAGTTGAAGGACGGGCCTGGTGCAACCGGTAGAGTCTTACCGTCTGTGACCGGAAGGTTCCGGGTTCGAGTCGCGGTCTTTTCGTATTGCACAGACGAGGGTAAGGCTTGCCACTGACACCCTTCCCCAGACCCCGCACAGAGCGGGAGCTCTCTGCACTGGGTACGCCCTTTTTTTTTGAGTCCGTTTATTAAGTTATTTTCATTATAATATATGATTCAGTTCAGTTCTTAAAGTTATTTTCATTATAATATATGATTCAGTTCAGTTCCTACTGAAGGTTCGGGTGAAAGGAAATGGTGTCCTACAGGCTACAACTTTTTTTCAAGATCATGTCTTAGCACGTTTTTCATTAAGCAGGGGTAAAAAGTTTTGTTACAAAACTGTTAAGTTACAGTAATCCAAAGATTACCGAAACCCACAGCTCACACCTCTCACACTTCTCGCACGTGGTTGTGATTACACAAGAAACCATTTTGCGATTAAGACAAGGATACACCTCAAACCTCGTCCATCCCGACCATATCCAAATTCATGACTAACGGGTCAAATTCCCCACTGAAAAGAAGATGTAGCGCCTCTTGCTTGGAGGCCGATAACGGCGCTTGGAATGTTGATTTGTTCTTGCGCACCGTCTCAGAGTCGACGTTGGGCGAGCTTGCTACGACTCCCAGCTTCTGCATGAGCACGCATTGAGCATGCTTGGTTGAATCCGCCTCGCGTGGCTTTGCAGCCAGACGATCACTACGCCGCAGCGACTGAATGGAGACCGGCGTCTTGGGCCTACGCAGCCTAGGCGGCCCACGGATGAGGGACGTTTGCAACGGAAGGCAAAGCCGCGCCTCCAGCGTTTCATGAAGTGTAGGGGGTACCGGCCCCAGCGACGCTGGCCGACCCGCGTCGTCATCGCTCAAGGAGTCCCTCGGCGCGCCCAACATTTCCATTTCCCTAGGCGAAGTCAAGACCAGCCGGACATCGCTAGGATCGTCGACCACGATGGTGGCCATGTCCCCATGGCCTGGTTCTGAAGCGGAGCCACGGTTTGGGGCGGAACTTGGATTGCCATTTCAACCAACATTGGGTCCAGCGTCGAGTCGACTGCGGGTGGCAGTTGCCTCGGCCGGCTCCACAGCACCATGTCCGTCTCAGTCTCAAGACCAACTACCTCACACGACGAGCTAGGGTGGCCGTCCAGCTGACGCCCGCGTGCAAAGTTGCCCCCGAGCCAGGCACAGACGCTGGCCGCGCCCTTCGACACCTCGTACGTCGAGGCAAGGTGCGTTCGGAACTCTGTCGGCGAGATAGCTGTCAGATTTCCACCAACGAGCGCGACAAGGGCTAGGGAAAAGTCCGCTACGGACGCGGCGAGCTTCGTGTTTTTCGGGACAACAAAGACCTCAATCTTGGGACGGCTATCAGCGTCACCTAGAGGTGGTGATAGCGACAGGCTGCTGCTGTGGTGGTGCTGCGGCGACGAAGACGGCGTGGTCGATTGTTGCACACGACGAGGCGACGACGGTGTCGGCGCTTGGCCTGGCGCGTCGCACCCACCCTGCGACAAGCTGGGTCGCCTTCGGCCAACAGGTCGGCGCGCCTTGGCACCCCGGTCAGGGCGATGCGCCTTCGAGGACGAAGGCTTTCACGCCGACGAATGACCACGCTTTCACGCCCTGGCCCGATGGCCGGTACCCCTATAGCGGAAGCAGCGGGATGGGGAGCGACACTGAGCGGCGATGTGGTCGTGCGCGAGGCAGTTGAAGCAGAGACCCGCAAGCTCCGGCGGGACGAGGCGATGGCGTTAGGGTGCCGTTTCCCCTGGGCGGCTCCGGTGACGACGACTCACAACAGTCAGGAAACCATCGGCGTCGACGTTGGGCCCTTGAAAGGATCAAGATGCCCAAGTGGGGGGGGGGGTGAATTGGGCTAATTCTAATTTTTTTTACAATAATTAAACCATACGGTTAGCCCAACTTCACCCCTTGTGCCTAGAAAGTGTTTCTAATGTTCTACCGCACAAAAAGTCTTGCAACCTAAGTTCCAATCCTACTCTAGCATGGTAATTCTATGAATGTAAAGACAAGTATTGAATTGCTCAAAATAAAGAGAGAAGGAGGAACGCGGCGATGTTTTGCCGAGGTATCGGAGAGTCGCTACTCCCCACTAGTCCTCGTTGGAGCACCCGCGCAAGGGTGTAGCTCCCCCTTATCCGTGCAAGGATCAAGTGCTCTCTACGGGTTGATTCTTTGACACTCTGTCATGGTGAATCACCCACAATCACTCACAACTTGAGTTGGGTCATCCACAAGCTTCGCCGGATGATCACCAAGCTCCCAATCACCATCAAGCCGTCTAGGTGATGGCGATCACCAAAAGCAACAAGCACGAACTCTCACTTGACCACGACAAGCCTAATGAGAAGGGTGGATGCACACTTTGCTACTCTTGCTTTCACTAATGAGGGCTCTCTCTTGCATTCTCAAATCTCAATCACCTCACTAGGACCTTGCTCTTCTTGGCACTCTCAAGGGTATTTCTCAGCTGTTGGAATGAGCAAAAGTACCCTCTCACACGAATGGAGGAAGTATTTACACACCCGTGTTTAAAACAAATCGTTAAGTGCCTCTGCGGGGTGATCGGACGCTCCGGTCAGTTCTCCCTGAAACCCAGTGTTTAAGTCGTGACCGGACGCGTCCGGTCACGATTTTCCCTCTCTGGAACCTTACTGGAGTCGACCGGATGCTGGGACCCAACGTTCGGTCACTCACCTCTCAGCGTTCGGTCGCACCAGACGAATTCACCTTGATAAAATGAACTGATCGGACTCTGCGCCTGCGTCCGGTCAGACCGAAACCAGCGTCCGGTCAGTATTTGACCCTCCATTCACTTCCAACTAGTAATCATATGTGAATGAAGTTTGCTCCAATTGATCTAAGAGCCTTTTAGGAGCTACCTAGTGCTAGATTTAGCAATTGTGCACCACACCTAACCCACTAGACTCACCTAGGTCAAGCTACCCGTCCATACCCCCCTTAATAGTACGGCCAAAGGAAAAACAAAGTCCTAAACTACTCTAAGTGTCTCTTCAACTCTAATCGACACTTAGAACTAGTCCATCCTTAACCTTGTCATCCATCCTTTGAAAACCGAAACGATTTCCATCGTAGGGTCATGACAACCATGATTGCCCAATCAATCTCCATTACCGTGACCTAACTTAATTGCCTCTATAAAACACACGTTAGTCACAGTAATCATGCATTGTCATTAATCACCGAAATCCAACTAGGGGCCTAAATGCTTTCAATCTCTCCCTTTTCAGTGATTGATGACAATACAACCTCGAGTATGTGAAAGAGATGAGGTTTTCAACATGCTTGGTTCATATAAGCTTTTGATAATAAGAACAAAAGAGTTAGGCAAGCTTATATGACCCAAGCCAACATAATGTACTCAAAAGATATGAAATAAGCATGAGTACAAGTAATAAAGCTCATTTGCATCGGAGTAAAACGCGGAAGCAAAGCAAATGAGCATAACACAAGTGATATGACATATAAATAATTCAAAGTAGAGAGCACACATGTCACATATCACATAACTATCACGATCACATAGATATCACTATCACATAAATATAGTTTGATGCATGAAAGTAAACACATGAATGCATAATAGTGTATCACACATAAAAAACCAAATATATTAGATAAGCTAAACTCCCCCTAGATAAGTCGCTCTCCCTAAGTCTAACATACTCGATCCCTCTCCCCCTTTGGCGTCAAACACCAAAACCTAAGGGTCGGTTGGCGGGGCTGCAGTGGACGAGTGGGGCGCTGAGGTACGAGGAGCGAGCTAGAACTATGTGCCATCATCATCTGATCCTGAGCTCTGAGCTGTCTGACCCTCTGTAGCTGGAAGCGACGCTGAAGCGGTCTGGGTCGGATTAGGGACTGGAGCGGCCTGAGACTCTGCAGGTATGACTATAGCAGGCGGCTCTGATGATGCAACTGAAGAAGTGAGTGTCTCTGTAGTTTCTTTAATAGGTGCAACTGTGGAAGGACCTGGGACATGTAAATATGGCGGAGTAGGCTGCCCTATCAACTCGCTTAAGGTAGCACCAAGGCTCCTAGAGACTGTAGTATCTGGCACAAGCAATGAGGAAGTCTGAGCCGGTGTGAAGCCCGTCTGAAAAGGTGTGAACTGTGGGGCTGGCACTAGCGAGGCAAACCACTGGGACACTTGCTCTGTAGGTGAAGCAAACTGAGTGGCAGTTTGTCCCTGACTCTGAAGCCAACTGGGCTGTAAAGCTGGAGTCATGGAAGTGGTGGCAGGTTGGCCGATCTAGGGTGAAGGCGGTGGCGGTGGAGCCCCAATAGCTGTCACAACATGCTGCATAAATCCGAGGAACTGCTGCTGCATGAGGAGCTGCTGCTGATGCATGGCCTGCTGCTGCTGCTGTATAGCCTGCTGCTGTTGCTGGAACTCATCCTGCCTAGTCTGAAACTGTGCAAATTTAGCAGCGGTCTCCTGAGCCTGGCGAGCCTGATCCTGCCTCATCCGCTCAAGTATAGCAAGGAGAGCAGGGTCTGTCTGTGGTGCAGGTGCAGCTGAACTGGAGCTACCGGCCTCATGGTCATGTCATCGTGGAGGCATCTGAGGGATAGCCTGGTAGTCATCATCTGAGCTGTCACTAGGGTTGCTCTCGACCATCCCCTCTTGCTGAGCATCAAGTTGTTCCTCCTCTGTAGCTGCTATACCCCTGATGGTCTCATCCTACTGGGATGTAGTCTTGGGCACCTCTAGACGACGGCGCGGCTGGCTGGGTGTCCTCCCTGTACTATGGCGGAGCATCTGAGTCATATTGTATGCAGGGAACTCTGTAGTAGCACCACTATACTCTATCAACATCTCAGGTGGCCTCACAGTAACTGCCTTGTGGATCAAGAATGTAATCCAGTGAGCATATGACAACTGCCTATGACCCCTGTACCCCTCTGCAATAGTATCCTCCATCTCTGATAGAAGGAGATCCCAAATGTTAAACACAGTCTGCTGCATCAGAGATTTTAGTAGCCATAACTATATGCGAGTCAAGCCCTCGCGATATCCCATCCTCAGAAGCAAGGTCCTCCTCATAATAGCATCAAGCACTCTAGCTGTAGGAGTGAGGTCACTGGATGTCCTGCTCGACCCCTCGCCGAATGGCTCTGTGAAGCAATGGCGGACCAAATCTGTAGGAGGCACCATACCGCCATGAGGGCGTCTGGGATGCGTTGTCTGTCCATAGCAAACCTCATGTAGCCGAACGGGCTGCTCCTGAAGCCTAAGTGTCTCCCTGACCTTGAAACTCATCAACCTATAATCTCTGCCTCTGAAAGCAAAGTGTATAAATCTGTGCTGCGGGTCAATTCAAACTGTAGCATAGAACTCACGGACCCAAGATGGAACATATAAGCCTATTTGTCCGAGTAAGTCTGTCAGCCCTGGCAAGTAAGATAGGTAAGGGCGAATATGCTCTCCAACTGCTGCTACAATGGACTCAATGTTGCACACCCTCTGAGATCTAAATGCTGCCCTATTGTTAAGATATGCATTATAAAAATCTTCCTGCAGTGGTGTGTAGAAGCCCTCTGATGCACGCTCATCCCTCCTCGCGGGAATCAGTCCTCGAATGGCACAAATCTGAGCTGTTGAACCTACTTTGTTGTGGCGGCTCTCAAATCCAAGTGAGTCACTGGAGGCGGACCCTGTGGTCTAGAAGGTGGACGAGAACCCCTCCTCTGTGTCTCTGGCCTCGGTGTCACTTGGGTACGAGTATGACCAGAGCTGCGAAGCTGTGGTGCCGGCTCTGTCTCCTCTACCTGCTCTCCCTCCTGAGTCTGCTCTGCTGGCTGTGGGTCCTGCTGTGACTCCCCCTGACGCTGACTCTCATCAATAGCGACATGCCATCCTCCAACCATGGCTGTCCCAGCTGGACCACCATGACGACGCTCAACCTCCTGGACAG